GGGGCAGGGCCCAGAGGAGGGGACCCTGGGGTGAGGCTTGGGGCCGGGTCCTGGGACAGGACTGAAGGGTTGGGGCCTGGACAGACCTTGTAACCCAGACCCCTGCAGGGGTCTGCACCCACCCACCGTTGAGGGGCAGCAGGAAGCAGCAGCAGTACCTCCCAGGGGCTTAACTGGGCCTCCAGGAGCCGGCCTTGGGTCCCTGCCTGGTCTAGTATGGATTTCTGAGGCAGGGCCACTTCTCTAAGGAGTCAGCAGAAACCCAAGGCCCTGACTCCAGGCACTCTAGCGCATTCCTGGGAGGTGGCCCCTGTGGGTTTCCCTGGCCTTTGGGGAGGGGCTGTGGTGGCTGCTGACACCTGCCCAGGGCGCTGCCCTCAGCCTCTCGTCCTCCTGCAGTGACCGTGTTCAGCCCCGAGGACGAGCAGAAGGGGGAGAAGATCTACCTGTACACACACCTGAAGCAGCAGCCCATCTGGTAAGGCGCCTGGCTGGAGGGCAGTGCCCCCCGATGGCCTCTGAGTGCTGGACTGTGGCTCAGGACGCCGAGCCAGGGAGGCCGCGCTAGGCCGCAGACCACCTCCCTGCAGGGTCCCCTCCTCTGGGCCCTGCCCCTCCCCTCCCCACCAAGGGGGTGCAGAGTGTGGCGGGCCGGGGTCCCTTCATGGGCTGGTGGAATGCCGGGAGGCAGGGGCCGCGACGGCTGAGCACGCCACGGGGGCTGTGGTGGACGTTTCGTGTCACCGTATTTGGTTCAGTGTGGCCGGGGCCAGGCTGCGCCAGCCAGGCCATGCTCTGTCCACTGCAGAGGGCGAGTCCCACTCCACACTCGCACGTGCTGAGCCAGCTGTGGGAGTCCAGTCGGCCTGGCGCGGCTTCCCCATGTCCCCGCCGGGGTGGGCTGTGGTCTGCGTGGGCAGTGACCTGGTGGAAACCTCGAAGAGCTGGGCCCAGTGGAGGCCGCCAGGTCCAGGCGTCGCCTGTGGAAGGCTTGCGTAGCTCTCCCGGGACCAGGGTGGCCGCTCGGCCCCGGCTGCGGGCACGTTTCCCTCCCTGTCCTCTCTCACGTCACGAGAGTGACCACAGTGCTGCTGGGACTCCAGCTGCTGGGACTGAGCTGAGACCTCCTTGCCCAGGTGTTCTGTTCCAGGGCCACGCCCCGGCGGTCAGGGAATGAGGTCCTTCCGGGTAGTGGCTGGCACAGCCCTGAAGTGCCCAGTGGCAAGTCTTATCCTCTGGCTAGTGAGGTCCAGCACCTGGAGGTGTCAGACATGGGCCCTCCCTCAGAGGTCACTGCTCGGCCGCAGTAGAACTTCCCACACTAGACGAGGGCCCTGTGAGGGGGGTGGCCAGGACGTGCTGTGGAACCCAGGGTGGAGGCCTGGGCAGGGGCTTCGGGGGACACCCCCATCGGGCTGGACCTGAGCCCCCCAGGCAGCAGAGCAGGGGAGAGGCTGGACCTGGCCAGGTGGCACCTCGAGGGACGGGGCTCCGCCGGGCCTGGGCCTTGCTGCTGTGTTGTCTGGACGGGGCAGATGCGTCCTGAGGGACAGATGGCAGACCTTTAGATTCCATGGGCTGCGTGCTCTCCACCGCTACCACAGCCAGGCCGTAGCTGTCAGTGAGTAGCCGGGCGACCTTCATCCACAGAAAGAGGCGGGGCCTCCTGTGGCCAGGTGCCGCCTGTGCCACCCTGTGCCGCCCTGTTCCGCCCTGTGCCACCCTGTGCCGCCCTGTGCCGCCCCGACCCTTCTGGGAAGACGTCCTGGGAAGGTGCCTGCCTTGTGCAAGGCGCGTCCCTGCTGATTCCCTTTTATGTCGTGAGACCCTGTTCTGTGGAAGAGCTGGACCCGTGTCCTCTTGGAGCCTCACCAGGAGGCAGAGAGGACACAGCAGCCTGCAGCTGCCCCCCAGGCCCCAGGCCACCTGACTTCACGCCCCACAGCAGCTCCGCGGGCCCCCCGGCCCAGTCCGGCCTTCTCTCTCAGGGAGAGGCAGCGCCAGGAGCCCCGGGGACCCCCAGCACCCCCTCCTCAGCTCTGCCTCCCTCCCAGAGCTGCACAGGCACCGGGCCCCAGCTTTCCCACCAGGTGGCAAGACGCTGGGTGGGACTGTCGGTGCCAACTGTGTCTCCCTGCAGGCACACGCTGAGGTTCTGGAACGCAGCCTTTTTTGACGCCGTCCACTGTGAGCGGAGAAAGCGCTCTCCCACCACCAGGTAGGAGCCAAGTGTGGTCCACTCTCCTGGGAGAGAGGACGGGGCAGCTCTCGTCGCGTTTTCTGAAGAGGAGAGCAGAGGAGTGGCCCGGCTGCTGGCCTCTGTCCTCCTTGCCCGGCCTGTAGCCCGCCCACTGCCGGAGGCCCGTGCTCAGCTTGGAGGGGTTGCTCAGCCTGCATGAGTGCTTCTGTCCTGGGACCCTGGCATGACAGCCTGAACCTCCCGAAATGCACACGCCCTCAGAATGAGGCCTTCAGGACCCGCCCACCCTGCTGCTCGCTCTGCGGGTCCGGACCCTGGGGACAGCCGC